TATATATATATATATATATATATATATATATATATGTTAGTTAAACAATGTTTTACTGAACAAATTGCTCTTTCTTTACATGGATTCAATTAGAATTAAATCGTCCTTTAAATCTACCTCATAAAATAAATACATTTTAAAAAATCTACCTCTGCTCTAAACTATAGGGAGACCTTTTACATTAGGCCTACAATAAGGTTACAATTAACAACAGTTAACAATTAACTTAAATTTAATTACTATTTATTTTTAACTATAATATTTAACACAAAAAAATTTATGCAAATATGTAAATTGCACTCATAACTTGTTTCACAAAAGATTTATTTAAATATAGCCTACCTTAAATAATTAAGACATCATTAACATGTAAAGTAAAACATAATGAGTATGCCAGATCCCTTCAGAAAATATCAGTTTTTACTGGTACCAGAACAACTCGTCAGCAAAGTAGTCTAACACCCAAAACCCGTAAACAGAAAGTCTTGTCTGGTACCCAAAACTCTATTAACAGTCTTCTATCAGCCAAGAAGTTTACTGAGGAAAAAGCCAGTGAAGAGCAGAAGCAGGAGATGAAGTGATGATAAAAATGAGCAGAGTTTACGGAATAGTCTTAGTTGCGTATGTTTCAATACTCAGACTTCCTCTGACGAACACAAATCCAACAAGTACTGTTCTACCAAACTGCTTCAAAACAACATCCCATAAACCTTGAGTTTCTATAAACATTCCCTTGTATATCTTATTCATGAAGACAAACAGCCAACAAAGTCATAAGACTAAACAAAAATGACAAATTATATAATATAATATAAATGACTTATCAATAAATTAATCAATGAAATGGATATATAAATGACTATAATGATTGTTATAAATGATTATATGATTAAATAAACATTTTGTTTACAAGCCGTTTTAATCATAACTTTCCGCGAGTGAAACACTGATTGATGCGATTACATGAGGCATGAGATGTTCACTCATGTTTATTTCACATTAAAAATAGTAGTAAAGAGGAAGGGATGATCGCGCTCACTCGCGCTGCCGTCAGAACTGAAGCGTTTATACAGCGATCTGTCACGCCTCATCAAAAAATGCCATTTATTGTCTGAATTTCCTGAAAAAATTTAACGATTTGTTCGGTAAACATGCTTACCGAACCGAAAAACCTGTACCGAAAATTTTCGATACGAATACGTGTACTGTTACACCCCTACTAATGATTTAAAGTAAATTTTAAACATTTAAATTAAAATATTACTCTGCTCCACTGAACAAAATGTTAATGACACCATGAGTTCTGTTTGTTTACATAGAAGTCACACATTTACAGAGGTTAACCTAATTCCTGTTACACAAATATTTAAAATACTGAGATAGATGATAATGTATAATGTTCACCAAATAATTTGGTAACACTTTATTTTGATGGTCCCTTTTGAACATTATGTTGACACGAAGTAATGTTGCAACTACATGTCATCTAACTCTCATTAGAGTATTAGTAGACTGTCTGCTTCATATCTGCTAACTCTTTATTGTGATTATTTATCTCCCAACAGACATTCTACTGACTATAAGTAGCATGCATAACTTTGCAAGTACATGCCAACTTATTCTAACCCTAACTCTACCAGTCTACTAATACTCTACTAATACTCTAATAAGAGTTAGTAGACATGTAGGTGCAACATTACTTATAGTCAACAGAATGTGTTAAAGGGACCGATAAAAATAAAGTGAAACCAATAATTTAATGACAAGTCATAACAACAAATAAATTAAAAAATAATCTTTATTTACCCTAAAGCATAATTTGTTTAACTTTTTAAAATAAATGTCATGTCACTATGTTTGATAAAATAAAAACTAATAATTTATGCAAATTTTTTTGTTGGTGTTTTTTATTTATTTACCTCTAAAAGTACCATATTTTATGTAAAATATGTTTATTTTTATGATATATTTAATATATATTTTACTTAAGAAAAAAGAAATCATTCCAGTAAGTTCAGACCGAGTGTGCCGCACTAGTCCTCAAAAGTGAAGCCATCGCGTCTCGATCGCCCCCAGGTGGCTGGTCCCAGTACAGGTCATAAACCCCGCCCTCTCCATGTAATCTAATGGGACGTGAGACAAACTAAATAATTAAATTTCACTTCAAATATTTTGTTTTCAAACATGGTTTTTGTCATTTGATGTAGATTTTATCACGCTGATGTAAGTTCAAGTGTTCGTTTTTTAAATAAGTTTGGTTTGAGTTAGGTACGTGATGCTATAAAAACGGGAGTGTGACGTCATGATTGACAGCTCAGACTGACAGCTTCCAAGGCGCAAACAGACTTTTTCGGGATCTTCAGGAAGAGATTGGAGTTGTATTTACCTTATTTCAACACAAGCCTCTTATACGGCAATCAGCAGACAAAAATTGGAGCAGTCAAGCTAATTTAAAAAAGAGTCAGAGGCATGTGCTTGCGATCGACTCTGCGGGAGTGTGGGCGGGACGTGGCTCATCTTCGCTCTCTACTGCGCAGACTCTGGTCCCAAATAAGCGCAATATGGCCATGCCCTATTGGGACGATGTGCGGCTACACTTTTCTTCAATGGAAGTGAGTGAAGGTGCGTTGTCCATCTTTTTTCACAGTCTATGGTTCAGACAGCCACAACCTAAATATGTGGTGACTTTGGTGACATCTGGCGACATAAGATGGCATAAAAATATCAAAAATATCAATAGCCACTATATGGCTGTAGTACTCAATGGATGCATATAGGCTGAAATCTAAAACCATTGTTGTAACCTCTAAAGTTTTAGATTTTATTACAAGTTAAAATTGTAGAATAAAAAAAATAAAAAATCTTTGTGTTGGGTGAGACAATACAAAGATGCCAAAATATGCTTAAAGACAAATCTGACCATCCTATAAGGAAAAGACAAAGTAGGAGACGAGAAAAAAATTATTTCTAACACAACAAAAACATTTTTTGTTTTTTAATAACTAAAAAAAATAAAATGGTATCAAATGCCAAAAACAATACCAAAACAATAAACCCCAAAAGTTGCATGTTTCAGGCTTGTTTTGTTTGGCTTAAAAAAGGCTTAAAAAGAAATAAATTGTTTTCTGTGAGGGGTAAGTTTAGTTGTAGGGTAGGGGCAGGGGCAGTGATTAAGACCTCACTGGGCCCCGGGGCTATGACTTACTGCAGGACCCTCATCAGAATAATGATATATATAGCTTAAAATAGGATTTTTGTCCAATAAATTTTTTTGAAGCATTGCAATTTCATAATTCCTGTAACCAATTCCAATATCACAAAAAAAAAGCCTACGTAATAACAAACTTACTGAAGACAAGTAAACAGTTATGAATTACCATAGAACAAAGAAATTGACCTACAAACACTTAAAGCACTGAATAAGAAATATTATATTGTATAATATTAAATAAATATTAAATGAAATGATCACAGATAATAGATTTGATGTACTTTGCTTGGCTGAAACCTGGCTAAAACCTAATGATTATATTGGTCTAAATGAGTCTACACCACCAAGCTACTGTTATAAGCATGAGCCCCATCAGACTGGCCGTGGCGGCGGTGTTGCAACAATATATAGTGATATTCTCAATGTTACTCAGAAGACAGGATACAGGTTTAACTCATTCGAAATTAGGGGTGCTCCGATCATGATTTTTGAGGCCGATCACCGATCACAGAAAGCAGTATCTGCCTATACCGATCACCGATACCAATCTTTTTAAAGCCTTCTTTTTATAATTTATAACTATTTATAGTGATACTTCAATCAGGATTTTTAGAAATTTATTCAGGGCCTGAATTTCATTTTTGAAAATGTGGTGAATTCCCCTCTTAGGTGTCTCTTGTGAGAGGAGATGCAGCTTTCACACAGGAGTCCGCTACTGATCCGCGGCTGTTTACCACAAACACAACATTTATTCCAACATTATAATCATTCCATTATTTTAATTTCAAATCCAAACTTTGTCACTGAAATTACTTTTTCAGCATTGTAATTCTTTTTTACACAGTACAGTAATACAATCTTTCACAGACATGTTTAAACACAATACATATAAGCAACACATTCAATGCTTTTTACTTTTGCATTTAATTCTAGATTTATATATTAAGTTGCTCAAGCAAGTGGCAAAACATTTAAACTACTTTTCTTACGTTATCACAAACTTACCATTGACAGAAATAGTCAGCTCTACTGCCTTTCCTTTTGCATTGAAATCTTTATTACAAGCAATCC